TTTGAGCTCCCTCTTGTGGGCTGCGGAGAACCTTCGCGAACAAGAGGTGGTGAACCTTCCACCGGCAGTGGAAATAACAAGGTAATTTCAGGGCTGCGCTTTTATCTTGTTTGTACCTGTTATATGCGCTACGCGGTATAGACACTCGCGATCGTTGGGAGGACACGCTGGCTATTATGCCGAAGCACGTCTCTCTGACGATTCACCAGCGTCTCGGAATAAATCATTCGAAGCGGACGAGTGGTGCCAAAGGGTCACAGCCCCCCCCCCCCCCCCCCGCAGGATTAGATTCATCTCGTAACTCCCAAAAATAACTCCTGCCGACAGACAAGACGTCTCCTTTGCGTGAAGCCCGGTGATGCCAACAGACCAGGGACGTCTTTCCCGAGTTTTTGAATAAAAATAAAAAATAAAATCTGAGAATGTGATTGATGAAACGTCACGTCCGTTCTTTTCCGAGACAAAAGTGGCGTCACAGCGGCATCGCGTGACGGCACCGTTGTCAGCGTGAAGACGCAATGACGTCCTTACGTGATGCAAACGATCTGGAAATAAATCTGAAAATTTCGTGAAATTGCACTAAAAAATATCGGAAGAATATGAAACCTGATTTCTCATTTTTTTTGTTTATCTGAAACCCGTCCCTGCAACACACGAATTCCAAACAGCACACAGGTGTATGGTACACTCATGAAACACTTGGCGTTGCACATTTACAACAAGCCACACAATTACAACGGCACCGACTAATTAGCGATGGATCATTACGGACGAAACAAGCATTCAGCCAACGTTGTTGATACGACACTCGATAACCGTACGCTCTTACAGTCCCATGCGCACAATCTCCAGCAAGGATCACCACTTCTATCGGCTGTGCAGATGGAGAACGGTGACAACAAGCAGCAGAATGCACCGATTACACACGTTGTGTATTAAAACCTTTGTTAAGTTTTGATTTGAAGCTTTCGTGACTGCAGGGATTCATATTCTTGGTTCTTTCGGTAAAGTCACGTAGAAGGGAAATAATAAAATAATATAAGTATAAAAAAAAAATTCTCACGACGTTTCGACTGCAACACAAGCAATCATCATCAGGTGTGAAATCCAAACCTTGTGTTGCAGTCGAAACGTCGTGAGAATTTTTTATTGTTTTATATTTATATTATTTCTCTTCTACGTGACTTTACCGAAAGAACCAAGAATATTAACCTTTGTTAAGCTTTGCTTAATTGGAGATTATATTTATTGTAATCGCATTTAAAATACAACTACAGAGGCTACACGCTCGCCTCGCAGAAGTGATCTGTGTGCAGGATTGACGATCTGATTTCAGGAGGAGGAATTGCTTGCGATAATTAAAATGTCTTTCTGCTCAAAAAGGACAATTCTTAATCACATCAAGGCTATCGTATGGCAGTGGCCAGTCTATCCCGAGGACAACTTCTATTGCAGTTGTATTGATTAATGTCTTTAGTTTGTGTGTGTTAAATGTACTTCTGCACCACTGCCAAATCAGCTGCAGCAGCATCACCACCAAATAATTTGTTTACCAATGACTCATTTGCGCCGCCCGATCTTTTTCAGATCTCAGAAGCCGAGCGGAATTTTAGCCATGGACAGTGCTCGCGATGAGTGACCGTCACAAATGAAACAGACGCCACACAAAGGCTTGCTGCTGTGAGGGCTACGTCGTTGTGATCAGAGGGCAGTGCAGCCAGACCCATCGTGCTACTTGCACCATGCTCCAACCAACAGCCTCTCTGCTCTCCTCCTGAGTATGACCTCAGCCCGGCGGTTTAACGATTCGTCTCCACGTTGCCCGAATGCATCGCGTTGTGAACAATTTCACGAGTGGCACTTTTCGGCGTTTTTCACATTTTCACATTTTTTTCCATTCACATTTTTCGACGTGTCCCTATGCCCCAGCGGTGTGTGGGGCGACGCTCATCTCCACTGCCGGCCCCTGAGCCAGTTAGGTGGAAATTCCACGTTCCTACGACGAGGCTCAGTCCATCCATGGGACTGCCATTGGTGACTCCCTGCTCATTACTACCACGACTACTAATCATGATAAAGAGTCTCAAGACCCTTCTGGAGGAGGGTCCTGCATTGGGCTGTTTACCCACCCACATGATAAACACACAAGGAGCGTTTCACAGGTGGTAAGAAGCCAGAGTAACCGGAGGAAAACTCCCCCATGCACATCAGGCCAGCAGCTTTGGGAGTTTCGCAAATCACTACGCGATCCACCAAACCCCGTCTTCAAAGCGATGGGAGGTCAGATACATTCCACCCGTGTCCTTTAACACGTGGACGTAGGATGAGCTGGGTATGTAGTGGCATTTCACAACAGGAATGTGTTCATTCAGCAGCGGATAGAGCATTGCTACTGCTGACAGACGATGCTAAAGAAGATATGTACAAAACGCAATAAGGTGCTTACATGTCCGATAAAAAAAACCACCGTTCCTATTAAAATACAAACTTGCATAAATTAAAGGAAAACATTCCACGACACTATGAAACATAACACTGGTGCTAGTTGAGTCTCGGCATTACGAGCTTCGCATGAACGACTCTCTGTGGTGTGGGCATCTTCCCGCATTATCAATGTCACCACGCAAACGCACGCACGAGCGCTCGAGTTCACCAGGGACAGTCCGTAACGGAGTCCCGGCAGTGATTCAAATTTGGACTGTCACTTCCATTCCTTCAACATCGTATGTTGAACTTGAATACGCGCGAGCTGAGCTGCTGTGAACAAACATCCCGATGATGCTGGATGCAATCTCCGGCGAAACGTCGCATACAGCCGTCAGAAACGTTATGTTGACTTGATTTTCAACATTTTGCCGAAAATCAAAACAAATTGGCACATTTGCCCACGCAACGCAACGCAACGCTCGACTTCTTTCGCACCCCACGTGGTCAACCGCGCTCATCGGCGGCGTGCCGGGTCAGGACAGCGAACTCAACACGTCACGTGGTGACTCCACGTGATTGTCTCTGTCGGGCGGCGGAGTTGAAAACCCGACATTTCACCGACACGACCTTTAACCCCCCAAATGGTCACGAGTTTACGAATCGGACAGGCGGCGCCTCGTACTCGGGGAGTGGCACCACAGTTCGCCCCACGCCGACGATCCGCAACCACGAGCACGGCCGGGCAACGTCGTGGAAACATACGGGGGGGGGGGCGATTGGTTGTGCCTCGTGGTGCACACGTACGGCAAGCCCCCCACCCCCTTGCCCCGCGCTACGAGTGTCGTTCCTGCAGTGCCGGATGAAGCGAGCACGGGGCTTGTAGCATGTGTTCTAAAGGGGTCCTAAATAAAAAAAAACCCACATAAATATTAAAACGCTAATATTTTTTACTTGCTTCGTAAAGTAATTGTAATTTTTTCACTTGCTATACAGCCGGATAATACGATAAATCGTTCACCTTAAACACCCGGTCGTTCATAAAAGTTGAAGGCGGTATTGTACTATAGTAATAGAGCAAGTGCAGAATCACTTGACCGGAATTGATAGCTTGAAAGCATTTAGCGCGGGGCCCTTGAAAATGCGGGGCCCGTAGCTACTACATGTGTAGCTACTTTAGCTACGATGGTAATCCGGCACTGCGTTCCAGCAGAACTGCTGGGAGGCAAGAAAGGAATTGGCACGTCCAGCAGTGGAGGCGAGGAGTTTTGTCGGCGGTGTAGTGGCATTCGCTTCAACGAGTGGGCTCTGTCTGCGACACATGCAGATGAAAACGAACCCCGGTTGGAGCGTGAGTGATGGCGTTGTACGAGATCCCCCGACTGATTCTCTCCATTAAATAAATGCGCCCATGTATGCGCGTGTGTATGTAGCTGCCACTGCTGCCTCCAAGTAGCCATGCGCATTGCAGGTGTGTTGGTGTGTGGGTCTTTCCCCGACATTCAATTACCGCTCATGGCCAACACCATTGACGATTATCTGAATCGCTGCTGGGCCTCCCCTAGGTCGACTCAGCCTCAAACGAGTACCTGGTGCGATGTGCAAACATCACCACTTGGGAGACAAAGGCAGCCGGACGTGGTGCTGGCCACCCACCCCGTTGTGGACTGTGCCGGCCTTCATAGGTGCTGCTCGCTCACAGCACTTGTCCCAAGTCTGTTAAGGCTACACGGGGGGTCTTTGTCTTTATGGGTCTCTCTCTCTCTCTCTATAACTCATCACACAGCCATGGATGCTCCCATGATCTTTCAAGGAAGCACATATGATGTATATCCTTCCCTCTGTCCAAGGCCATCACGGCTCCTTGTCTTTAAACTCCAAAGCCCATAAACAAGGTGTGTGTGTGTTGTAGTGTTCAATTCCTGCTCACGTTCAATAACTAGTGATGAATATTATAACGGGTCCTGGGCCTCCCCGAGGTCGACTCAGCCATAAATGAGTCCCCAGTGCGGCGTGCAAAAGTCGGCACATTGGGGAGACAAAGGTGGCTGGGCTTGGTGTTGGCCAACTACCTCGTCGTGCGCCGGCCCCGACTGGTGCTCGCTAACAGCACTTGTACCAACAGGCTGTTAGAGGCTATACACAGGGGATCTTTGTCTTTGTGTGTGTGTGTGTGTGCTTCAGGCGGGTGGGGACATTGATGCATTCTGAACGATCAAGAAGTCGCGTGAAATCTATGAAAGGGACACGGAGGACGACTTTTCCTCTGTCCAAAAATTGCACGGAGTCGGCTGCCCAAATAGAAACTCCCGCGTATGTAGCAGGCATATGTAGACTTTAAGTGATACATGCCCTATTTGTACGTGATGCGTGCTGTTAGCCGTGTATTTTGTGTGTGCTGGTTCTACCGTGATGTTGACGCACGACCGTGCCATTCGGAATGTGACCACGTGCAGTCGTTTTGGGTTTATTTTGTTCATGTTTTGTTGTTGTTGTTGCTGTAATCCAGTATTCTAATGTGTAACCATATCCTCATCGAAAATGAGCATCTATTCCCCAATGAGTTATACTTGCCCAAATGAGTATATAAAACACAAATGTGCGTGTGTACATGTGTACGGTGCTTAAGAACAACTTTGAGATCGGCACGATCACACAGTCCAAGGGTAGCTCACGGAATCTTTGAAAGCAGCCACACCCCAATATGTCTTGCCCTCTTGTACAAGAGGGTCACCGCTGCAGTTCCTGCCTCGTACGTATCCAACACGTGTGCGTACGTCTGCATGTTGAACTTCTTTCGCACCGTGCGTAGCCAAACCGTGCAAATCGGAGGTGCGGGAGAAGGACAACAAACTAAAAACGACAAAAATCATCTGTAGCAGGCACGCGTGCGTGCGTGCGAGCGCTTCGGGAATGATAATGAATTCAGCACGACCACACAGCCAAGGCGACTCGTGGTCATCCATCAGGAGCACGGCTTGCCCTATTGCACACTGGCGGTGACATGCGTTCGCAAATGCAGCGCAACCCGAAAGCAAATCGCACACCGGTCCCTCCTTGCACCAGAATCATCTCAAGTCCAAAGCAACGATGCCTCTCCACACCCTCTTAAGTGTCCACGTCAATACCGGCGGCGGGGCCGTACGCCTTGGCGTGCCCGTCCCCTCCGCCCACCGCGTTGACGCTCTGCATTGTGAGCCGCGTTGACCCCGTGACCCTGGACGACGTGCTGTAACCCCGTCGCAGTTGCGCGTGTCTCCCTCGCTCGCAGCAGCAGCAGCAGCAGGCGAGAAGCGGACGCCGCGTGGCGGGACGTTCACACAACGTCTGGCGCAGGTGGTCACGGAAGCCGCTGGAGACGGCGCAGAGCGCCAACGGGTTGACGCACGAGTTGGCGAAGATGAGCGCGCGGGACAGCAGGGAGAACGCCTTGTGGGTCGGGGAGAGGTCCGGCTGGGACTGATCGCGGAACACGCGGTAGAGGTAGAGCGCGTGGTTGGGTAGCGAGCAGAGGGCGAAGAGCGCCACCAGCAGCAGCACCGTCTTGGCGAGACGTCGGCGGCTGCTCACTTGCCTCGCCTGCGCAGCGGAGGAGGAAGAGGAGGAACGGTGCGCGGATTGGCACGGTAACGCACACCGAGGCGGAGGTTGCAGTGTGAATTCGACTGCGGGTCTACCCCCCGCACCCACCCACCGTCGTCGGTTCGACGAAAGAGTCACGAATCGACGTCACGATTTGATGCACGGCGTCAGTAGCTTGCTTTCGTCTCGTTTTGTTTTTGTTACATCTTTTTGAACGGCTCGTTTCTACAGTTTTGTTCGTCATCCATGAATCTAAATGTGTTGCGTGAGCATGAAAGTCGTTTAAATAATGAATGTATAGCCCCACTGCCGAATAAAGGTCTCCCCGCGTCGGTCATGCAGGTTATTTATTTGCCCACGCTTCACTCTGGGAGAGAGAACGCAAGAGAGAGAGAGAGATAGAGACAGGGAGTCACAGCGAGAGATCAGGTTGCAGGAGGAAGAGACAACTACGTGCCCGAGGTATCGGCCCTCGACCATGAAGTGACTGAGGTTGATCCGGACACCAAGGAGATGCTGAAAGTGCTGGACTTTAGAAACCTGCCCAATCTGCAGGTCACTCAGCCTATTCTGGGCATGGCGTTCCGGTCGCCGCGGATCTAAAACGCATTCATGTTGTGAAACATAAAACAATAAAAATCTAAAAAAAAGGGCACTGACGCTGGGCAGGGAAATTATGAGAGGGAGAGAACTGCACGCAAGACAAAACACGTTCCTGCGGAGGGAGCTGGTAGGAACGTTGGGTTGCTCGGTCAATGGCCAGGGTCAACGGCGGCGTAGTGTATTCCTGCAAATATGCCCGACTGTGAGGGCGGGCACAAGCCGGCGTGAGTAGGTTAAACGTTGAGTTTTATAAGGGCACCACGGAGTGATCAGCCCCTACCCACCCAGCCCCACCCCACTCTCCCCACCCAGCCCCTCCCCACCCTCCCCTCCCCACCCAGCCCCTCCCTCCCCACCCAGCCCCTCCCTGCACGACGGACGGAACGGACACAATAATCCCCTGTGGGCTGGTGTAACCAGGAGGTTCCTACCAGTAAGATCCCCTTGTGTAGCCTTGAAGGTTGGCAACGGCACACGAGGGGGTGGGTGGCCAGCACCACGCTCGGCCGCTTTTGTCTCCCCAGCGGCGATGTTTACACACCGCACCGGGTACTCATTTGAGTCGAGCCAACCTGCGGGAGGCCAAGGACTGGTTTGGATAATCGCCACTGGTTGTTGGCCACGAGCTGGAATCGGACTCGGGTTGGTGCATAGCGCAGCGTGCTAACCACTGCGCCATCACTCCCCACACTCACAACAACGAGGTGCTGGGTAAGCTTTTAGGTCACGCTGGCGGGAGGTCACGGAACAGATCCAGGTGCCATGGGTTGACTGACTTAATGACTGGCAGTTGCACCACCCGTGCTCCCCACCGCGCCAACTTTCTGCGTTTTAGTCGCCTGGCGATTGTGCACTTCAAGGCCACGCGAAGTGTCGAACGACCGCTGGCAGGAGGTCACGGTGGCAGACCCAGGTGTCAAAGGTCGACTGACTGATGTTAACACACACGGCCGCTCGTTCGGAGGCTCACCGCATTGTTGCCGGGAACTCTGGCGGCCGAGCCGAGCAGCTCGGCCGAGATGAAGCAGTAGAAGACGGTGATGAGTGTGAGCGGCGCCACGAAGTACACGCACGACACCGCCACGGCGTGCGCGCGCATCACCGCCGTGCCGTTGTGCGGGAAGGGCACGCACACCGTGACCGCCACGGTGGCGTTGGACGAGGCGTTGAACGCGTGCCACGACACAACGTCGGCCAGGACGCTGTCCGGCGTGGCGAGGGCGATGGAGCCCAGCCAGATGCACAGCACAGTGAACCACGTCGAGCTAAAGCGGCCGTGACGCGGTTCGTCCATGGGCCTCACGATGGCTTTGTACCTGCAAGACAGCGGGGGGGAAGGGGGAGGAACGACCCTGAAGCTCCTTCGCCACGGCCGTCAAAGCACGCGGCACATCCGAGCCTTGACTTGAAGTATTCGAGACTGCAGAAATTCATATTCTTTGGGCCTTTCGGTAGAGTCACGTAGATAGGTTCAAAGAAAATAACAAAAAACTACTTTCCAAGAAACATTTCGAAATCTAACCGGGGCAGCCGCCGGGCTCGAACTGCGTGCCCCCCTACAAAGCAAGCGGCGAAAGCGAGCGACCACAAACGAAGCGGCGCTGTCATCGAACCTGTCGGCGCTGAGGGCGACCAACGTGAAGACGGAGATCCCGAGGGACGTGAGCTGCAGGAAGGGCAGCAGCTTGCAGCCGATCCTCCCGAACATCCACGAGTCGTAGAGGAAGGAGATGGCACCCGAAGGCACGCAGGTGACCAGCACCATCAGGTCGCCGATCGCCATGCTCACCAGGTGCACGTCCGATGCGTTGCCTTTTGCGGCGGGGGGGGGGGGGGGGGTTGGGGGAACAGAAGAGGAGCACGAGGTGTTCCTGGAGGCCCCGAGGCAAAATCCCAACCGTGTGGCCCCTTGATTCATTGGAGGTCAATAAACCTGGCCAGATTTGGGGCCCCCTCTGTATGTGTGAGGCCTGGGGTGCGGAGATGATGGCGGAGGAGGACCAGGAAAAGCAAACATTATGCGAGTGGGGGGAATGATAGAAATATGGAATATACAGAAATATTCAGAATGTTTCATATCAAATGGCTCCGTATCATTCACGCGGTAATGTATGAAGACCACATTTCAGCCCTTGCGCATTTGCGGGCACCATCGGCATTTCCCGAAGAATTGCATTGTGGGTCTTGCGTTGTTGTTTGAAACTCATGGATTTCCGACCTGCACTCATCTTTTCCGATACAATGGGGTTGTTTTTTTTCTCTTGTCATTTACAGATTTCATGATTCGCACAGGCCATTCGTGGATGCAAACCAGACGTGCCACTCTTCGGTAAAATGTTCAAGAGCCGCAAGCGAATGAGCGTGCGAAAGTTTGATAAACCGAGAGTGGCTTTCCTTTGCCTCCCAAATAACAACACAAAAAAATATAAAGACAACAAAAGCAATGCTGAGATGGATGTGAGGAATTTCTATGAAGGAAATTAGGCTGAACGAAGTAGTTAGAGCCTTAGGAGGGGTTACTAATATTCTCTAGAAGGCTGAGAGACCGAGATAGTTTGGGCACATCTTTGTACATTAAATTAGATACCCATAGACTCACACAAAGACTCATAGACTCATACAGAGCACCATATAGTCACACAGAGACCCATAGACTCACACAGAGACCCATAGACTCGCACATAGACCCATAGACTCACACAGAGACCCATAGACTCGCACAGAGACCCATAGACTCACACAGAGACCCATAGATTGACAGAGACCCATAGACTCACACAGAGACCCATAGACTCACACAGAGACTCATATAGTCACACATAGACCCATAGACTCATACAGAGTCTCAGGGACTCACACAGAGACCCAGAGACTCACACAGACACCCATAGACTCACACAGAGACCCATAGATTGACAGAGACCCATAGACTCACACAGAGACCCATAGACTCACACAGAGACTCATATAGTCACACATAGACCCATAGACTCACACAGAGTCTCAGGGACTCACACAGAGACCCAGAGACTCACACAGACACCCATAGACTCACACAGAGACGCATAGATTGACAGAGACCCATAGACTCACACAGAGACCCATAGACTCACACAGAGACTCATATAGTCACACAGACCCATAGACTCACACAGAGTCTCAGGGACTCACACAGAGACCCATAGACTCACACAGAGACCCATAGACTCACACAGATGCCCATGGACTCAGCCAAAGACCCAAAGACTCACACAGAGACTCGTAGATTCACACTTAACTCCAGAAACTCACACAGAGACCCAGACACTCACACAGAGACTCAAAAACTCATCCAAAGACCCATAGACTCAAACAGACACCCATAGGCTCACACAGAGACCCATGGACTCGCAAGGAGACCCATAGACTCAAACATAGACGACCACACATGTCTCCCCATGGATTGTAATGGACATGAAGATGCCACTGGTACAGGGCTGACGGAGCAGAGGGAGAGCGAGAGTGATGTGGAAGGATGCGGCGGAACAATATGTGAGGGCCGTTGGATGTTACTGGAGAAGAGGCAGGGAGTAGAATCTGGGTAAAACCTCTTAAAGTCGGACTAATATGGGGGAGAGTCTTTCCGGTTATGGGGGATGACCAGCATGCTGCAAAAAAAAAAAAGCCGGTAATACACACAATTATTAACGTGAAATTGCATTCACAAAGTAATTCTATGACGCGGCTTTCACGACCGATATTATCGATTCGTAATCAGTGTTTGGGGGATGAGATCGCGTGTCGGTGTAATGACAATTCACAGATGTGGCCCTCTGCCACCCTACACAGCCGAACCAACCGAGCTGTCACGTGGGCACACGTGCCAAATGTTTTTTCAATAGATTTAGATTCGCAGTAGCTTATATTTCAGATTTTTTTACAGCCCTTTGTCAATCCACTATTGGCTGAAGGCCACCCCAAACAACGCTGCCTCAGTCACGGCGGGGGGAGGGGGGAGAATTGTTTGTTTGCCAGAACTTTAGACCGCTATGTTGAGAAAACAAGCCAAGATGTAAGGATTTCGTGGTTAAAAAAAAAAAATCAGCATCGTCAGGCGCTGGCAAGAGCTTACTGCGCTCAAGTCAATGCACTTCCTGGTCATCCGAACAGCTGTGCGGATAAGCGAGATTCATGGCTGTCAACCCGTACGGGTTACTCCGTGTTCTTGTGCAGGGAAATTGAGTTTTCAGGTCCTTACGGCGTACAACCGTTGGAATACTGGCAAAACGTTTTTGTCTATTTGTTTGTGTATCTCCCTTGTGATGGGAGTTTGTAGGATGAACGTTGAGATGTATAAGGGCATGAGGCGACTAATAATGTCTAAATTGGTCTGTAATAAGGTAGGGGGCACTGATCAGGGGTTGACTGCTGTGGAGATTTGATGTCCTGTTATGACAGGTCATCACCGATTGATTGAGTGTAAGATTCAGGGTTAACAAGGATGAAGCTGTCCAATTGGTGGTGGAAATAGAATCACAAAGAGTAGGCGTTAATGTGTTCGTTATAATTGGCGGTAATTATTATGAAGTTTATGCGTTTTTAAAATCGCCGGACGTTACGTCATAACGCGCAATTTATTGATGTGGTAACTCCTCGTTTGACGCGTGGTGTTCCCACTGTAACGTGCTTTTCGCACAACACGGAAGGCGCGCCGTTATAACGGGGAGGGAGCGCCGTTATAATACGGAACGCGTGCCATTACAACACGGAAGGCGCGCCGTTATAACGGGGAGGGAGCGCCGTTATAATACGGAACGCGTGCCATCACAACACGGAAGGCGCGCCGTTATAACGGGGAGGGAGCGCCGTTATAATACGGAACGCGTGCCATCACAACACGGAAGGCGCGCCGTTATCACGGGGAGGGAGCGCCGTTATAATACGGAACGCGTGCCATCACAACACGGAAGGTGTGCCGTTATAACGCAGCTTCTGAGCGGTCGACGACGAACTATTTTTGGAGCGATTCCGTAACTCGATAATTCCTCGCTTAACGTGGCTCTCTGTCTGGCTGTCTGCTTGGCTGGCTGTCTGTCTGTCTGGCTGTTTGGCTGTCTGTCTGTCTGGCTGTTTGGCTGGTTGGCTGGATGCATGTCTAGCTGTCTGTCTGGCTGTCTGGCTGTCTGTCTGGCTGTTTGGCTGTCTGTCTGGCTGTCTGTCTGGCTGTTTGGCTGGTTGGCTGTTTGGCTGTCTGTCTGTCTGTCTGGCTGTTTGTCTGTCTGGCTGTTTGGCTGTCTGTCTGTCTGTCTGGCTGTTTGGCTGTCTGTCTGGTTGGCTGTCTGGCTGTTTGGCTGTCTGGCTGTTTGGCTGTCTGTCTGGCTGTTTGGCTGTCTGTCTGGCTGTCTGTCTGGCTGTTTTGCTGTCTGGCTGAATGACTGCTCCTTCATGCCGGGGGGTTGTCCGCAGACCGAGCAGTGTGGATGGAACCCGAGGCCATCGTGCGGTTGTGAGATAAATTTGTCATGGAACTTTTTGAGTTCAATGGTCCAAGCTGTGTTTGACTTTACATGATGTCTGATTGCGTTCGATATGTGTGTGTATACCAGAGGGCAGCTCCCCCCCCCCACCTCTCTATATATTCATTCTTACCTCTCTTACGCACTGATTTCATCATTTTCCCACGCTGCGCACTTGCAGAACAGCAGCAGAACGTTTCATTCGTTTTGCAACGCGCACAAAAGCGATTTCGATGGCGAGGGTTGACTCCCACGGTACACGTGAAGCCGAATTGCGAGAGATTTCTCGTTCTATTCACCAGGCCATCATTGGACCTCCTTTGCCAGTACGAAAATATAATAATAGGGTTTTTCCCCTTTTTTTCCTGGCAATAAAACTGAAACCTTTTTTTTACGAGGATTCATATCTGCATTGACCACAATACCTGCAGTCAAATGCAAACAAAAAAACACACGATAATAATATATGCATTGTCACCCTTGGTGTGGACAAATCAGTTTCAAGGACAATGCATATATTCTTAGGTTTTTTTCGGTAAAGTCACGTAGGTAAAACATCAAAATTAATAAAAATAAAATAAAACAAAAAATCACGACGTTTCGGAGGCAACACAAGTCTCCGTCATCAGGTGGGACCGTCACAGCCAGATTAGCTTCATCAAGTGAGGCAATGATTCAAGATGTAATCCCTTGCAGTCACGAAAGCTTCAAATCTAGACAATGCATATATGATCATGGTGTGTTTTTTGGTTTGCATTTGACTGCAGGTATTGTGGTCAATGCAGATATGAATCCTCGTAAAAAGGTTTCAGTTTTGTAGCCAGGAAAAAGGGGAAAACCCCTATTATTATAATCACCAGGCCGTCACCCGATGCTCTCCTACGACTTCCTGCGGGTGCACAGCCACCGCGAGGGGAGCCGCATGTCCGTGGCTCTTTAAGGTGACCACGGCTTCGTGGCGTTATCCATGAAGCAAACCTGTCAACCCCTTATCCCTGCCTTATTACGGACATATTCAGACCTGATTGGTCACCCCGTGGCCTTGTGAATCTCAACGTTCATCCTACAAATTCTCATCGCAAGGGAGTAACACAAATAGACAATCACCACTATACTCACCACTACTACATTCACCACGACACTCACCACTACAATCCTGTCAACACCTTATCGGTGCCCTGCCTTATTACAGACCAAGTCAGACATGATTGGTCACCCCGTGGCCTTATGAATCTCAACGTTTATCCTACAAATTCCCATCGCAAGGGAGAAACACAAATAGACAATCACCACTATACTCACCACTACTACATTCACCACTACACTCACCACTACAAACCTGTCAACACCTTATTGGTGCCCTGCCTTAATACAGACATATTCAGACCTTACTGGTCACCCCGTGGCCTTATGAATCTCAACGTTTATCCTACAAAGTCCCATCGCAAGAGAGAAACACAAACAAATAGACAACATATTTGTTTTGCCCGAATTGAAACGGCTGTACGCCGCCGTATGAACCTGAAAACTAAATTTCCCTGTACAAGAAAACGGGGTAAACCGCGTGGGATGACAGCTATAATTAAGGGACCCCCACCACCGTCTCGTATTCACCGCGTTGCATCGCGGCTCTTGAAATACTGATGAGTTTTTTTGTTAACCAGAATTCGCTAAAGAATGCCCCTCCTTGTTAATTTGATTGGCTACCTCCTGCTGCGAGGTTGGCGGGGTTGGTATTCGCGCAGCTGCCAACCCATGCGGTTTAGCCCGCATTTTCGTGCAGGGAAATTGAGGTTTCAGGTCCATACGGCGGCGTACAGCCGTTTCAATACGGGACAAATGTTTTAAATTATATTTTTGTCTGTTTGTGTTTCTCCCTTGTGATGGGACCGTGTAGGATGAAGCTTGAGATGTATAAGGGGCACGGGGTGACCAGTAAGGTCTGACTTGGTCTGTAATAAGGCAGGGCACTAATAAGGGGTTGACAGGTTTGTAGTGGTGAGTGTAGTGATGAATGTAGTAGTGGTGAGTGTAGTGGTGCTTGTCTATTTGTGTTTCTTTCTTGCGATGGGAATTTGTAGGTTGAACCTTGAGATTTATAAAGGGCACGGGGTGACCAATAAGGTCTGACTTGGTCTGTAATGAGGTAGGGGGCACTGATAAGGGGTTGACAGTCTATGCACCCGGGTGGCTGGCAGAGAAGCATTTTAATTTACAATGCACGTAGACGCTTTATCGTTCCAGGGTTTATAATGTCGTGGGCCACGCAAGCACGCTCTTTGTTTCGAGCCCGATTGGTCGGCTAGGAGAGAGGTCGTGGAAGCACACAAAGCGTCGTCTTGCTTGCACAGCTATAGACGATGAGAACGAGAAAAAAGATGCTGGAGGGTGACACTGACGGCAGCTTTGTGCTTCCAGTGTTCAGAGGCGCGGCTCCAGCTGGAGCACGCGTACCACACACATGTCGGTGATGTGCACGTCTTCTTCGAACGCTGGGGAGCCGGAAAAGCCCCTCTATGTACCAGCGTGGACGGCACCCTCGTGTTCACCTTCTGAAGCGCTCGCTCGTCACCGTGGCGTGCGCGATGACCACCACCACCACGTGACTTTTCTGTTGTATTGTGCGCGGTGCTTTTAGCGCCACAGCGCGTCGATTTGTAGCGTTTATTTTCTTTTGTTTGCTGGTGACTTTGTGTATTTCATATTGAAAACACCTCCAGTGCTTTTGCTGCTGGCGGCAATAAAAGTTGTTTTAAAAAAAGTCTGTGGATAGTTTGTTTGTGCACCTAGCTTGTACAATGTGGGGTCTGTGTTACGTGTCGCCAAAGTGGCACCTACACGCACACACACAAAAGCAAAGATTCCCTCCCCCCGTGTAATCTTTAACAGACTGCTGGGGCAAGTGCTGTTAGAGAACACCAATTAAGGACAATACCCACGACCTTGAGGTTAAAGAGTATCATGCCTTGCCGACCGTGATATACGCACACAACGGAAGAAATATATCACGAGATTAAAAGTAGTTTCATTGGTGGAATTAAATAATGGATGCCTTTAACTTTAAAGGCGAGAGATATTTAATGTTATTGCGATCACGGTTAAGCGGCAAATTCTTTTTTAAAACCACCAAAGCTTTATGGATGACCAACATCGTTCAGCCTGGTGTTCCACTCAGGATAATTAATCGTGAGTCCAATTGTCTCCACTTACGTAGCCAAGAAATAACCACTCATGCTCTGGTGACTGTCGCTTCATTGGGGCGCCGCAGTGGCGAGATGTTAACTACCTCACCTGATATGCAGGCGGTCGTGGGTTCTGATCCCGATGCCTGCTGTATATTTGGAGTTTGCATGTCTCTCTCTCTCTCTCCCCGTGGTTGTGTGGATCTTACTCTGGGAAACCTCTGGTTTCCCTCCCCACATTTATAATTAACGTGCGTTTAGAGTGTTTAGAGTAATTGTCTGTTGTAAATTTCCACGTGATAATCCACTCAATTGAGCTACAATTTGTGACCAGGTCGCTTCTGAAAAAGAGCTGCTCAGCTCAGTGGGCCTTACTTGGTAAAAAAAAAGTAATTTTCGTTTTAAAATAAAGTTCTACAATTAAATGATAATGCTAACATGGCTAGCTTTGACATGAGCACGTATGTTCAGCGAAATCCCAGTGAACGAAACCATTAAAAAACTGAATATAATTGACAAAGGCTTCATCTAAGATATTCCACCGATCAATGTGGCCACATCAGCCCACGTGACGGGATTTGTTCGGCCACGTGGGGCGATGGAGGGGTGCAAAGCTCGAAGCGGCATGTGACACGTGCACCAGCTCGCACAGCAAAGACTAACTGCGAAACGCGCACGAAGCAAGCAACATTTCATTGGCACGCGACGATGAAGTGAATCGCAATTGAAAAAAGTCACCGCTGTAAGGTTTGACTCCAGCCACTTACCGTCGGCAGACAGCAGCGGGGGAAGGCTGAGACCTAAATCCAAGACACAGAGAGACTGATTCTCAGGGGCTTTCCGCGCAGAGATGATTTCTTCATGCAATGGACATAAAATAAATATAATATCGATGATTCGAGCGAGAGAGAGAAAGAGAGAGATGCCTCACGAAGGGCAATGGGGCTACCGAATTTCATGCAGCAGACAACAAGTGCGCGTTTCACATGGATGTGTAATTACTACTACTACAACAACAACAACAAAGTGGCGGTGACGTCACCACCGCGCTTGCGCCAGGCTAGGTGCACATTAATGCCACGTGAATTGTGTCGAACGCCCGCTGGCAAGAGGTCACGGGACAGACCCAGCAGGTTGCCATGGGTCGACTGACTGAGATGAACTGGCAGATAGCACCACCTGTGCCCCCCTCCTGTGCCAGCTGTGCACACACACACTGTCAGTTGTACCATCATACCTGTCAACCCCTTATCGGTGCCGACCTTATTACAGACCAATTCAGACCTTATTGGTCACCACGCGCCCTTATTAATCTCAAAGTTCATCCCACATAGTCCCATCGCAAGGGAGAAACCCAAACAAATAGACAAACTATTTGTTTGCCTGTATTGAAACTGCTGTACGCTGTATTGGACCTGAAAACTCAATTTCCCTGCTCAACAATACGGGGTAAACCGTATGGGTTGACAGGTATGCACTATTCACCTGAACTGTATGACATTGGTCAAGGATTGCATCGGTGCATCGCAGCGTTCCTCATTGCGAGGCCTGCGGGCTACACTGGCGGCCCCCAACGAGTGACAGCACCACCCCCATCATCATCATCATTATCGTGCTGCTGTCAAACCCCCCACAATGGTTTCAAACGTGCGGCTGTAACCTCACTCACACTGGCGATGTCTCACCGGCGAAAGTGCCCCGCCCCTCTGAAAATTAGTGTAGAGCGCTGGCACGTTGCATAGTCTTAAGCGTTTATAGAATACTATGAGACATCTCCTTTACCAGTGGCAAAATATAGTAGTAGGTTTTTACCCTTTAAACTGGTACAAAACTGACACCTTTATACAAGGCATCATGTTTGCAATAGCCACTGGTAAAGGAGGTCTCATAGTGTAAATGCTTACCCCGAGCTCTCAATACTCTGATAGTGCACTGTTTTTGAGTTGTACGCCTTTTGGCGTCATCTGGTCCAACACCAATGGAGACTAGGCTCTAAAGAAAGCTGTCTCGGGTGTGGAGCAATCAACTTCAAGGACAGTGCATATCATTACCATTATCAGAGTTGTTTCTTTTTGTTTGCATTTTGACTGCTTGTGTTGCGGTTATTGCAAACATGATGCCTTGTATAAAGGTGTCAGTTTTGTACCAGTTTAAAGGGTAAAAACCTACTACGTTTATAGAATAGTTTCATTGCACAAAAGATGAGCAATTGCGCTGTGCACTGCATTTCTGTCCCGTACCGCCGAATTAGCAAGCGGTGTTGCGGTCGCAGGTAATTTTGGTTTACACCTGTGCCGGTATTTGTCTCTCCACCACTTCGTTTCTTTAAAAATGTGAGTTCGCTTACCCCGAAATCTGGCTTTAGAAATTACTACGTGCAGATGGGCCAATGAAATCACGGTGACTTTTGGCTGGGACGCGACGTTTAAGCCAGCGAGTCGCCTGCACAGGCATGTGGCGAGCGGACGCGTATCTGCGTAAGTCTCCGCTTCTCCACGTCGTGGAAGAGCGTGAGAGGCTACGCTTTTTTTGCATGGAAGTGTATGTGGATCTACACGCAAGGATGGTGATGAAATGGGACGAGGGAAGAGGTACAGAGAATATAAGTTCATTGGTTGAACGGCAAATCCGAGCATGCGTTGGAAGCGAATACAAAAGCAGAGCTCCCATTGTGTGTCACACATTGCTGTATGGCTATGGGCAGCCGGTAGGGCTGTCCAATATTAATCGGTGGCATTTGAACCGTATGGCGGGACCCCGGGGTCCCGTAAGCCCCCAGCTCTCGCATAAACTGCGTTGCGACGTCATTCTATGTCTGTTGAAGGCGGACGACACAGCGATCTGTTGCTCTCGACAAGCTCTACACGGTGCGCTAATCAAAGTTGTGTTTCTTCTTCGTATTCGTCTTCGCTGCTGCGCTTGGACGACACGACACAACTGAATGATCCGCGCCAGGCGGGTCGCGGCGTTTGTTGTGCGCGGTGGGACGGAGTCGCCAAAAACAAACAAATTAATTACGATTTTGACTTCCGTTTATTCGGGACCCCGGGGTCCCGCCATGAGGTTCATTGTGTCTAAGCAATCTCCGCACCGGGGTTTTAATCTCCTGGATCTCAGCGGTGGAGTCAGGCTCGTTACACAAACAGCTGCTCGCCGCGAGCTATGAATGCTCTGACGCGTGTGGCATTGCCCTTGTGCTGGTCGCCTTTTGGCGTTGTGCTCTGGTCTGACACTGGTGGTGAGACGAGGCCATCAGAAAGGCTGTCTCTGGTACAGGCCAATCATTTTCTAAGACAACGCCATGTATCGTCAAAGCGGGGTTTGTTTGCATGTTCACCACAAGCACCCTGTGTGGTTAATGCAGTGACTGGATCCCTTGCAGAAGGGTTCTTAGTTGGTGTTTGAACATCGGAACACTTCCTGTTGCATTGGCAAAAGGGGCAAAAAAATGTTTTCGACCGCTCAGTCGAAGGCAAAACAGGTATAATCCGTAAAAACAACGTTTTTCACTATAAATCCTTTATATGCGTGGCGGCTAGAGTCCTCTCGTTCTCTGGCTTGAGATGGCTGCCACCTATGGGTCAGATGATTGCATTGCACCATTAAGCAATTGGTAATTAAATATGATATTTTTGTCCCAAAAAGTGTAAAATTTTGGGAATTTTTTTTTCACGAACATTAATTGTCACGCACAACGAGTCTGTGTGCAAAATGTCAGCTCGATTGGATCACGGGAAGTGGGTTAAAAAACGACCGAAAAATTTGCACGGTCGTAAGCAAGCAAGCGAACTTAATATAAAGGATTTTAAATAAGTATAACCCGTAAAAACAAAGTTTTTCACTCTAAATCCTTTATATGCGTGGCGGCTAGAGTCCTCTCGTCCTCTGGCTTGAGATGGCTGCCACCTATGGGTCAGATGATTGTCTGCAGTATTAAACAATTGGTAAATAAATATTTAATTTGTTTTCCCTAAACAGTGTAAAATTTTGAAAACATTTTTCACGAACATTAATTGTCACGCACAACGAGTCTGTGTGCAAAATGTCAGCTCGATCGGATCACGGGAAGTGGGTTAAAAAACGACCGAAAGATTTGCACGGTCGTAAGCGCGCAAGCAAGCGAACTTAATATAAAGGATTTTAAAAAAGGCGACACGAGACGAGACGGAGGGGCAAGTACGCACCTTGGCGGGGCTTCTGCGTGAGCACGTAGCGGATGAGCGCCGAGTTTCCCAGCAGCCCGAGCAGCATGATGATCCCGAAGAGAGACAGCATGATGGAGGGGACCACCCACGACGGCAGGGAGTCCTCCATCGCAAACCTCCGAATTGCACGGTGGGCTGCGTACGGTGCGAAAGAAGTTCAACATACACACACACATGGGTGAGTGAGTTGGTGCGTGAGTTGGTGGATGAGTGGGAGAGTGGGTGGGTGAGTGGGTGAGTTGGTGGGTGGGTGAGTGGGTGGGTGGGTGAGTGGTTGGGTAAGTGGGTGGGTGAGTGAGTGGGTGGATGAGTGGGTGAGTGGGTGGGTGAGTGGGTGAGTGGGTGGGTGGGTGAGTGGGTGGGTGGGTGAGTGGTTGGGTAAGTGGGTGGGTGAGTGAGTGAGTGGATGAGTGGGTGAGTGGGTGGGTGAGTGGGTGAGTTGGTGGGTGGGTGAGTGGGTGGGTGGGTGAGTGGTTGGGGAAGTGGGTGGGTGAGTGAGTGGGTGGATGAGTGGGTGAGTGAGTGAGTGAGTGGGTGGGTGAGTGGTTGGGTGAGTGAGTTGGTGCGTGAGTTGGTGGATGAGTGGGAGAGTGGGTGGGTGAGTGGGTGAGTTGGTGGGTGGGTGAGTGGGTGGGTGGGTGAGTGGTTGGGTAAGTGGGTGGGTGAGGGAGTGGGTGGATGAGTGGGTGAGTGGGTGGGTGAGTGGGTGAGTTGGTGGGTGGGTGAGTGGGTGGGTGGGTGAGTGGTTGGGTAAGTGGGTGGGTGAGTGAGTGGGTGGATGAGTGGGTGAGTGAGTGAGTGAGTGAGTGGGTGGGTGAGTGGTTGGGTGAGTGAGTTGGTGCGTGAGTTGGTGGATGAGTGGGAGAGTGGGTGGGTGAGTGGGTGAGTTGGTGGGTGGGTGAGTGGGTGGGTGGGTGAGTGGTTGGGTAAGTGGGTGGGTGAGTGAGTGGGTGGATGAGTGGGTGAGTGAGTGAGTGAGTGGGTGAGTGGGTGGGTGAGTGGGTCGGTAAATGGGTGGGTGAGTGAGTGGGTGAGTGGATGGGTGAGTGAGTGGGTGGATAAGTGGGTGGGTGGGTGAGTGGGTGGATGATTGGGTGGGTGGGTGGGTGAGTGCGTGGGTGGATGAGTGGTGGGTGAATGAGTGGGTGAGTAGATGGGTGAGTGAGTGGCTAACAAATCGAACAAAGACGGCCACTGCATCACGCGCTTTCAGATGCGCTTCTGTGGCCGTCTGGAATGCTCTTCCTTCCGATATTAGGAAGCCACTGGAGCTATACAACTTTTGAATCGTATAGATTGAACACTAATTTCTTTAGAACTCATTTTAGTGTTTCGTTTGTCGTCCTTCCCCCACGCACCTCCGATTCGCACGGTTGGCTACGCACGGCGCGAAAGAAGCTCAACGTCCATGCACGAGGCGTCGGCACGGGTTTCAAGACGCGTCACCGAGATGCAGGGCCGTGCCCGCGGTGCAACGATTGGCACGGTCATACTGTGAATGTGGACAAACTCTTAAGATCCCATTTGTAATAAATGTATTTCTGGTATCCGCCGTCGAGGGTCACCGGGCTGAGACGATCAGCTCGCCGTACTCCGAGAAACCCGAGCGGCTGACATTGCGACTGGGATCTCGCAGCAGCACGGACTGAGTGCCCTGAGATACTGACTCAAGCGAAATGTCTTGGGCGAGTGGGTGAGTGGGCTTTTTTTTAAATCCTTTATATTAAGTTCACTTGCTTGCTTGCAAATCTTTCGGTCGTTTTTTAACCCACTTCCCGTGATCCAATCGAGCTGACATTTTGCACACAGACTCGTTGTGCGTGACAATTTATTTTCGTTAAATTTTTTCCCAAAATGTTCCACTTTTTAGGAAAAAAAAATTCATATTTAGTTTAAAATACCAATGTGATAAAAATGAAACTCTTACTCAAGAAAAACAGAAATGAATAATAAAATAAAACCGATGCCACGCATATAAAGGATTTATAGTGAAAAACTTTGTTTTTACGGGTTAATTTTGTGTCAGCCAGGGTCGATCCAATACTGGATGAAGGTCTCCCTGCAAGCGGCCGCCACCATGCGCGACGATCCACCCCAGCATGTGGCACACGAACTGACTCGATTGCAACGCGTCCCTTGGCGCACGTGGTCCGATCTCGTCGCCGAACTACGGACAAAGCCACCGTGGTGCGATCGTGGCCACGAAAGCCAAAAGCCATGGAGCACGCAGCAAAACACTTGGGGTGGGGAGCTGGGTGGGTGTCTACGCTTCTCTACACGGGAGAGGAAACTTCACCACAACTCTCCACCACCCCCCCCCCCCCCCCCGATAGACCTCGTGGCTCGCAGACCTCGACATTGGTATTTTAGCTCCCGGGCATTTTCATTTTACATTTCCCCATCGTTCGCAAGAATATAATGAAATTGCTCGGCTGTCGCCCTCCGTTAATAATCTTTGACAGTCGGCCACCATCCTCAACGCAATTCTCAACGCAATCCTCAACGCAATCCTCAATACAATTCTCAACGCAATCCTCAACGCAATTCTTAACGCAATTCTCAACGCAATTCTCAATGCAATTTTCAACGCAATTCTCAACGCAATCCTCAACGCAATTCTTAACGCAATTCTCAACGCAATTCTCAATGCAATTTTCAACGCAATTCTCAACGCAATTCTCAACGCAATGCTCAACAAAATTCTTAACGCAATTTTCAACACAATTTTCAACGCAATTCTTAAGGCAATCCACAACGCAAATCTGAACGCAATCCTCAACACAATCTTCTCTTCACCAAACCCGCACCTTCACCAGTGTGGTCAAGTATGGTCACCCACCCCCCCCTCTCCGCCCCACCGCCACGCCCCCCCACTACCCTCCACCGCGAGCGATTAATTTGATTAAATAAACAAGATAAGCCCACTTAAATTGGCACCACCGTAAAATAAACCGTAACCCACTTACTCGAATTACCCCCTAATAGTTTGCGGTAGGCGCTTCACCACATCCGTTTGGGCGGCACGCTCTGGTTAACCTGACGGCTGCATTGATCCATTGCACTGGTAATGCAAATCACGGAAACCATTAAAAAGGAAATACACTTAGAGTCGACTGGTTTCACGGACCACACTGAGCGACGCTGCGCGCGGGACATTTAGACATCTTTTAGGCAATACCCAAGCGTTCAATTCACCCATCCGTTCATTCGGAAATATATTCATTACGTTATTAATTCGGAGCATTGAGAATTCAATGGGTTATTAATTTGATCGGTTGATAATTCCATTGTTTACTCGTTAAGTCGTTCGTTCATTCATTCGTTGAGTTCGTCAGTCATTACGAGAATCAGTCGTTCGCTGCATCGTTTGGGTGTAATGCAACATGCATGATGTTTTCCTTTCAGCTATTCATTCATTCATATATATTTAGTTACTCGGGTTTTCATTCATTTGGTTCATAATTCGGTCAGTTATTTATTTGTTCAGTCATTATTTCAGTTACAAGTTAATTCAGCTATTACTCAAGCCGTGATGCATTCGTTCGTTATCAATGTCGGTTCGCGTGGGAAGGGATGAACGCGCTGGACACTGAACCATACCGTGCGCTTGTAATTGGAACGTTCGTCACGTAAGATCCAGACGTGTCGCGGGGCAGATAAGTGCGCATTTTTTTTTTACAAAGCAATAGTTTAAGTTGTGACACTAACGTAAAACTAGCGAGAAATCGGGTTTTCACATCGGTGGAATTTTTTTTTTCTTAGAAAGAAAGAAAAAAAATCGTTAGGCACTCGAAATAACAAGTTGTGAGCCATTTTCAAGGCTGGCCACCGCCGATTTGTCCAGGTTTGTGAGATTTTAAGCGTCGGTTTCTATGAGTTCAGCGTCACGAGCGCACAGCAACCGATTTCACGTGATCTTCCCAACTCACTCTGCAGGTCGTTTGTCCGCATCACTTGAAGACAACAACGCAAGAGAGACGAACACCTGGCACGCACCCACTGCTTTACGCGACAGAGACACCTTCGATGCCCCTTCACGTGTATACATGCAAACATTAAAATTAAAATAATGTTACGTATATGAAATAAAGAAAATGTTAAGTATCATTTTTTTTAATATATTGATGATTAAATTTCAATTAAATGTTATATATACATTTTAGATATATTAAATTGCTGGGCGCCTCAAGGGTGAGCGTATGAGCCCGAAGAACAGCCGAGGCGAGGCCGAACCCTGCGGGTGCGACGAACCTCCTGACGGTGTCGCGTGGCGCGTGGCGCGTGCCGCGTGGCGCGTGGCCCGTGGCGCGTGGCGCGTGCCGCGTGCCGCGTGGCGCGTGGCGCGTGGCGCGTGAAGGGCAAAAGTGCAGCCCTGCAATTTCACTTTCTTTGCGCCACCGCTTACTGGGGCGGATAGGCCTCTGGAGCAGCGTTGTTCACGCATTTTCACGGGGAAGGGGGGGGGGGCACTTTCGCCGATAGGACATCGTCAGTGTTGAGTGAGGTTGCCGCCACGAATTTAAAACCATTTTGGGGTTTGACAGCAGCACAACGACGACGATGATGATGGTGGTGGTGTTGGGTGGTGTTTTCAATCTTTGTGTGTTGTAGAGGGTGCGCGCATCAGGGGCCCCACTAAAGACGAGGAAACTGACCACATTCCCCCTCCCACCCCACCGCATGCACGGCCTCGATTGACTCACTGCGGCGTGCGCATTTTGCCCTGCCAGGTGGAGAGGCTGGTGGTGGAGGTGGTGGTGGTGGGGAGGGGGGAGCGGGCGGGCGGGGAGGGTGATGAGACTCAAGAAACCTGCACACCATCGTGTCACCTGCCGCGCACGGAAGCCGAATTGAACGCGGCGACCTCTGCGTTGTGAGTGCAGCGCGCGAACCACTTGGTCCGGCCAGGATTCGCAAAGCCAGCGTGCAACATTGATTTGCAAATCCCATGCGTGCGTGAGTGCGCGCGGACTTACGGGCTAGGCGAAGTGCATTCAATTATACCCAAGGGGCTCACACGCGTGCGTGCGGGCACGCTCGCAACACTGTATTTTAAAGAACACGCAAAAACATTTATAAAGTAACGCACAACCACGGCTCACGCCACTGGAATTCGGTTCAGGACAAACGCGCGC